ATGGTTAACTACATAGGTTTGTGGTAAAACAAATTTCTCATTATTAATTAATATAGGAATATTCTAAACACAATGGGTTATAGGTAATTTTTCATTATTATATTGACTCATATTAACATTATAATTTAGTTTTATTAATGCTTCATCTGGTACTAAATGTCTTTTAATTATACTTTTAGAAGCTCTAGTATCTAATATAGCTGAAGTTTGGACTAATTTTTCTTTAAATTCCAATGTTACAGGAAATGAGATTAAACTAGATGGTTTATATATTGAATTTATGGATTCAACTAATTTATTTTCTAGTTTGTTTTCATACTTATTATAACAGTCGAGACATAATAAGTTTTTACAATGATCTTTACAATAATATCCTTCTTTAATGGAAGAGCTACATTGTTTACAAGTATAATTTGAGAAATGAAATTTAACTAACTCATAATAACATGAAGAATTACTTATAGTGCAAATATAATCTTCTATAGAATGAACTCCTTATTCAAGATCTCCATCATCTTCACTGTCAATACTTTCTATACTATATATGTTTTCATTATCATCATGGAAATCATAAACGCTTTCTAATTCATATAATTCCTCTATTTGTTCCTCAATATCTTCAAGTATATTAATTTTTTCTTGTATTTGCTTAATAGGGTTTTGCTTATATCTATAAGGGCAATTTAGTCTTATATGACTTGGATCTCCACAAATAAAATATTTGCAGCTTCGTTCCTTTGTGGGCAATGTAGTCACTTTGCTATCTTTATTGTCCTTGTTATCTTTTTTATCTTTACTTATTTTTCGTTTTTTATACCAAGGGCGTTTTCTGAATTGTCTATGGTTATTTTTAAAATAAGGTATTTTGTTATGATATTTCGTGTAGGTCTTATTTTTGCGTAAATTATATTTTTTGGGTTCATTACGCTTATAATTATAATTTTTCTGAGGCATACAACCATACTAAGGTGGAAAATCTATTTGTCTACACGTATAATAAAATTGTTTTTTGATTTGTTTGAAATCTTTACGTTATCTACATTTTGCTTTTAGCATATTATACACATGAGTAACTCTATCTCCTATGGTTAGCGTTTCTCGTCTAGAGTTGAAAACCATTTTTCCCAAATTTTAGTTCCTATACTTCTGGGTAACTTCTGAAGATACCTATCGAATAATATTTTATCTCCTGTTTTACCAGTGGCTGCAAAATACTCAAAAAAATTTATTGGTGTAATCTTTTATGTATCTAAAATCACAAATCTGCAATAATTCTAAATTACGTAAAGTTTCGTTTTGTTTTATTAAGGTGTCATCTAATAATCTATCTTCGCCAACTAATACATTTTTAATTAAGCTGGTAAAGCCTTGAATTATAAAATTATCTCGTAAGAGGGCATAATCATTGGGATAAGTTACTTTATAAGACTGCCACCAGTTATGAATGGTTCCTCTTAATAAGGTTTCACAATAGTTAGGGCTTGAGTTTTATTGTCAAAACTGGTCAAAATAGATTGCCTAATACAATCTTGTTCCCAATTTTTGATTACTTTTGCCCAATCTTGGGGATCGTGTCTTACTATGTCTAATATTGTTCCTGCTTGTTGTGCTGGTATATTTTTATATTGTCTACGATATTGTGTTAATGTGTACATATCTGGTATATTTCTATTTTCTACATAAGTTTCTCGTGAGTGATTTAATCTTTGTCTAGTAGTATAGTCGTCATTTATGGTATTACTTCCTGAAGCATTAGTCTTTCGTTGGTCAGTCATTTCTTGGTCAATTGACTGAGATGCTGATCCTTCTGGTTATTTTCCGTCTCTATGTTCTATTGCATTCAACTCTTCTTTTACTGTGTTTAATTCCGATGTTATATAGAAGGATTCAAACCCTACGCTTAGAATATTTTTCTTAATATCATCATTATTTCCTTGTCTTAAATAAATATTTTCTATAAGTTTGTATTAGGTTCTAGATACTTGTCTTGCAAGGCTTCTAATTCTAAATTATTAAAACCGTACATTATTTTTTCTAGAATTTCATCTTCTAATCTATCATAAAGGAAATTTATTTCTTCAGGAGAATCTATTTCTATAAGTGTAGTTAAAAAGTCGTCTTGGGTATCATCTACTAAATTGTCTTATCTTTTATAATTACTAAACCTTATGCTAGCTTCTCCGCTATTTGTAATATATATCATATTATTTTTGGGAATCTTTTTAGGTGTAGTAGTAAGTTTAGGTAATTTCCATTATGTTCCTTCATGTGTAATACTACTTACTTTTTTAGCTTCTATCATCTGGACATATTTACTACTAAAAGGTTTCACTATCTCACTAAATTGGGTTTTAAATTTTAAGTTATACTGATTAACTGCTTTTCCCATAAATAAAGTATTAACTAATAGATTTTCAAATTGTCCTGTCATATTGTATCCTTTTGTGGATATGGCTATCTTAATATGTTAATATGTATATTAGTTGATTGTATGTCTGTTTTAAAACTTGTAAATCATATGGGTTCTTTATCAATTTATAAAGTTCAGCTAACGCAGTTAGATAATCAGGATTACCAGTGCTCATAAAACTATTGTAATAACATTTGGATATCGGTTTTAAGGGATTTTAAGTAGTCTATAATTATTTTTTGATTTTCAGCAATATTTTTAATATTACTATTAATATCTTTAATTGCGACTAATATTATCTTGTTATCCAAATTATTTGGACTAGAATTCTGTACTACTTGTTCTTTAATATAATCAAGATTCTCTCCTAGTCGTTTTATAGAGTTATCTAAATTATTAAAGTCTATTATATTCATAAACTAAAATCGTTGTCGTCTACATTCTAAAATATTCTGTATTAAAAGAATTTTAGATCTAAGTTCGTCTATTCTTCGTTGTAGACTGCGCTTTGTGTCTCATAATTCTAGTGCTATGTAGCAGTTCCTAAGTGCTATTTGGCAAAATTCTAAGACTTGCACAAGTTATTCTTTGGGTAAATCTTGTATAAAGTAAACATTTAAGGGTGAAAATATAATTTTAACGTACTAAAGGGTTCAAATAAAATACTTTAACTTTTAGTTCATGTTAAGGTAAATATGCAAACTACGTTCATGTATGGGTAATATATTTTCGCTGTTACCACTTATATGTAATTTTCCCATGAATAAAAGATGTATTAGGTCACTGTTCAACATGTGTATATTCAAGATCAAGATTCGACACAAGATGCATTTATACCGCAGAAGCAGAAGCTAATACCTCCAACCAATTTGGCTATGGTAGCATTATATTCGAGATCTGTAACAATAGTATTACAAACCCATTAATGAGAGTTGTACTTTATTATTATTAAAAAGGAAATTGATATTAAAAGCTAAAAAAGTAAATTCACTGATCGACATTACAAAAAAAATAATCAATAAATTCTAGTAAGATGATATTAAGCGGGCTATTGCCTGGCTATTTGACTAGTGTTTTTATTTTGTGTTTTTTGTTTTTATTAGTGTATTGTAGCGAAGAAAAAATACGAAGCATATTTGGTAGTATTTGTTGTGCTTTTGAATAGTACCGAAGCGCTTCTAAAATTGAGACCAAAATCGAAAGTATCAAAATAATATTTTTGTTTTTGTTTGCTTATGCACTGTAACAATGAAGTGTAACAAAGCACTATTCAAAAAAAAAAAATCTAAAATAACATTTTTGACTAACCATTTAAATTTTCAAACTTGCAACACTTTTTACCAAACATGTTTTCATGTTTTTGCTTCTAAAAATTTTGTAATAAATTTACTTTACCAAGCAAGTTTCTAAATAGTGTTGAACACACTCTAAAAGTAAAAACATTATTTCTGCTTCGAATCAAAGTAAAAGTACAAAACAATTGTGATTGTCAAATGAGCCCACAATATTTACAACATTTTGAAATTAGAGGGAGTGGTTTAGTGAACTAAAGCCTACTATTTTTCTTCTTTTCATTTCAATATTATAAGGTACTACAAATAATAAGGAAGCATTGAGTGTTGCAGAGAGATGGAAGATTTTAGAATATGGAAAGAGTTTGTTCAAAATTGGTAGATCCTATAACATTTTAGAATAGTAAATAATTTGTGAATATGTAGATATTTAGGTGAATGGTTCTTAATCATTGATTGTAATGCGTAACGGTATACATTAAAAAAGTTGATAGATTATATATAAGTAGGAGTCTCATTTGTAAACAATAAAAAGTTTTAGGAACGAATAAAAAGGCCATAGACTAAGTTTTAGGAAACGTATAATTTGTTTATGCTAAATTCTCACCATGATGAATTTATTAACTTAGTTCATGAATTTATTAACTTAGTTCACTTTGTGTGATGAGAATATATGTTTTTCATACAATTTACTGTCGTGGTTTGATTTGATATTTGTATTTTATATATTTATGAAGATGCAAGGAGTTCATTTCCATTTTCTCTCTCTAGAATTCTTACACTTCAACAGAATGAATCTCTCTCCCCATTACTTCCCAAATTTATAGGTATTTACAAACATTAATGGGTTGCTAGATCTAGGCCCGTTCCTCTGTGGGCTTTGGTCATCTTCAATGGGCTATTCGCGTTTGGCCCATATGGCAGTATTTCTTTATGGGCTGGATCCAGCTGCTCGGACCGGATGCCATGTTCGCGGGTCATATCCGGCCCATATCACTTCTGGCCTCCTCAACTGCCCCCATAATTACTCCCTATTTAATAAGGGGTAATTATCAAAGGCGTCTCATCATGACGTTGACGGCTCAAGACACTCTTATGGGGGAATGGACGGTCGGATCCGGAATCAATGTTCCGAGATTCGATAAACTTCTCGCCTCCCTGACGCTTCGGCCCTCGGGTCCACTTCGTCTTTACGAGGCTCTAGAATGTCACTTCATGCCTTTTTACCGTCTTCATCTCTCTCCATCATCAGTCAAATCTCTCGCTTGTCTTTTTAGAACCGTGCTAAGTTTCATCTAATGAAATTCTTCAAGAGTCACTCTTCCAGCGATCTTGCAGCGTTCTTTGCTGCTTTCTACCCCAGAGGTTAGTCTTGTTCCTTTTTACTTTCGGTAGACTTCTTTTACACTTTTGGATCCTTCATTCGCTTTCAACATGGTTGTAGATCTAGATGTTCTTCGTATGAGACTTAGACTTCCTAACGACATCCAAGTTAAGGTTTGACATAGGGATGTTAATATTATGACCGGTGCCGGCCTTCTTCCCGGCGAGGTTTTATTTACTAACCTTCAACTAAATGTCGTTAGGTTCCCTCTGCATCCCTTTTTTAACTATGTTTTCAATAGACTGGGGATATCCCCTCTGCAGGTAAACCCAAATTTCCTTAGAATCATATCCGTTATGTTACTACTGATTCGTGACAGAGGTCTGGATCTTGACCTCATAGATCTTCTTCTTTGCTATAAGGTCAGTAAGATCCGAACTGAAGAGCCATTCTACCACCTTTACACGTTCGACAAGATGTCCATATGTACGGATACAATCAAATCTGAAAAGGGTTGGAGGGATAACATTGTGGGTGTTAGTGGGGCCTGGTCTTCGCCGACTGCAGAGGATTACCCAATCCCGAGCGCCTTTGGCGTCTGTTGTGTCTCCTCGTATAAGAAATTCAAATCTCATAAAAACGATTGTCCCTGCGAAACATGTGTTCCTCGCTTTTGTACTTTCTTATGTCGCTCCTTAGGCATACCTTGTGATGACTTGAGCTATAGTGTTTGCAGGGATAGGAGTAATTACTTGAAGAAATACGTTTTGAAAGATATTCCTTCTTGCTCAGACCTCCTCACTTCAGACAACCTTCTAGCGCTCTCATCCCTTGGCTATACAATGAGCAGGCTTCAGATTCTTCCTTTGGTAGGAGGAAAAATCCTCCCCCAGCCACTAATGCTGCTAGAGCAACCTCCTCTCCCGCATCAGCCTCTTCTTCAGCCACCATCTCTGACACTATCCCGAGTGTGGTGGCTATTGATCTTGTTGTTAGCACCCCTGCTCCCAACCCGAGCACATCTCCACAGATCACTACTACCCCTGCTGCTGCTGAGGGTGTTCGGGACAAAGAGCGAGGCAAAAGACCTCATCCTGACGGTGGAGTCAACCTCGAGGAGGAATATCTTACAAGGAGGACCCGAGTTTCTGGGCCGAGCGCTCTCTTGCATCGCCCAGTCAAAGCTCCTGCCCCCTCCGGGCCTGTTGCAGCTGCTGCCTCTGCTTCTGCTTCAGCTTCTGCCTCTGCTCCTACTCCTGTTTTACCACCATGGGCTCCTTGATACACCCGAACGGATGGGACGTTTGTGAAGCCGAACGAGACCATGATCAAGGATGGCCAGACCGCCATGGCGTACTATAAGAGCATGTGGACTCCAAAAGACCTTGAGGCAGCGAAGAGCCTGTCACAAAAGGATGTGTTCAGCCGCTTTCCCCAATCTGCCATGGAGGTGACTTTTATTTTCTAACTCATGAATCTTCTCATAATATTTGCTCTTGTCTTCGTCCGACCAGGCGATCGGTTTAACCAATATTCATGCATATCTATGCAGACTTTGTTCGGTATGATGGCTATGCAGAAACAGGTGGAAATGGGGAACGCTAGGGCCCGTAAACTCTCTGATAGCCTGGATGTGGCTAATAAGGAAAACAATATTCTTGCCAACAAGAACACCGAGATATTGGCTCGGCTTGAAAAAGCTGAAAAAGAGAGAGAAGCTCTGAAGAAGGAAACCGACTCTCTTCAGGATGAAAAAGATGCCATTCAGCTTGAAAAGAGTGTCTGACAGACTGAGCGCGATTCAATCAGAGATGAAAAGGCAGAGCTCCAGCGCCTTCTGGCTGACGAGCAGTCTGCTCGGATGGCATTTGAGAAAAGAGCTCTGGACGAGCGCAATGCTCTGATTGACACCATTAGCAGAGTGAATGGTGGCATGTTGGCTCTTCATGCTCGGTTTTCAAGAGTTGGAGCTCTTAGATATGCTCAGGGATTTCGAGATGGTTTTTCCGACCGAGTTCCGGCTGAGGGCCAGACCAGTTCAACTCCGGATGAAATTGATAAGGATCTAGGGATTGACCCTCTGGGGGTCTATGTTAACCCAGAATCCACCGCAGCCGAGCACATATTTGATGAGTGTCAGGAGATTGCTTCTTCCAGGATCACTACAGCTCCTTCTACCGTTCAGCCTCTAATCGCTCTTCCTTCGTCAACTATGGTATCTCCCATAGTCACTGCTGATGTTAGGCCCCAGCAGAACGACTCTATTATTCATCTCGATTCCCCACCTCGTGAGGGTGAGATGGCTAATGGGAACGAGGAAGTGAGTCGGCACAACCAGGAAGCTGACGGTACTGAGGCAGCTAGCTAGGGCTCTTCAGATCCCTCAATTTTATATTCTTTTGTAGTTATGTGATTTGAATGCTTCACTTTTTGTAACCTCGAAGCTTATTATGGATGAGACGATAAGACTTTTTGTACTATGCTCTGTTCAAACCCACTTTCAATACTTTTTCATATTGGCTTTGCCGTGTGAGTAAGTGCCTGGCGCTCGGCCTGAATGCCACACGCCACTTGGCTTTTTTATTTCTAGCAAGTGTTTAGCGTTCGGCTCATGGTGCCAGCTGCCATTTATCTTGCTTAAGTGCTTGGCGCTCTGCTAGAATGCCACTTGCCACTTGGCTTTTTTATTTTTAGCAAGTGTTTGGCGTTCGACTCATGGTGCCAGCTGCCACTTGTCTTGCTTAAGTGTCCCGCGCTCGGCTAGAATGCCACTTGCCACTTGGCTTTTTTACTTTTAGCAAGTGTTTGGCGTTCGGCTCATGGTGCCAGCTGCCACTTGTCTTACTTAAGTGCCTGGCGCTCGGCTAAAATGTCACTTGCCACTTGGCTTTTTTATTTTTAGCAAGTGTTTGGCGTTCGGCTCATTGTGCCAGCTGCCACTTATCTTGCTTAAGTGCCCGACGCTCGGCTAAAATGCCACTTGCCACTTGACTTTTTTATTTTTAGCAAGTGTTTTGCGTTCGGCTCATGGTGCCAGCTGCCACTTGTCTTGCTTAAGTGTCTGACGCTCGGCTAGAATGCCACTTGCCACTTGGCTTTTTTATTTTTAGCAAGTGTTTGGCGTTCGGCTCATTGTGCCAGCTGCCACTTATCTTGCTTAAGTGCCTGGCGCTCGGCTAGAATGCCACTTGGCTTTTTTTTTTTTCATTTTTTCATCCATTTTTTTTTTTTTTTTTTTTTAACCCCTTGAAAAGGAAAGCTATTTTTATAAATCTCAGGAATTTGCACGTTCATACGTATTTGATTGAAAACAAACAACATCCAATAAAACTGAAACTTAGCTTTTATTGATAGTACCTCTTCAGAGACGTAGCATTCCAGGGCTTGTTGACCAACCTTCCTGCCATGGTTTCTAATGTATATGCCCCCTTCCCTATGACTTCTGCAATTCTGTATGGGCCTTCCCAGGGTGGCATCATTTTTTTGACTATTCCCACCTTTCTTTTCAGAACCAGATCGCCAGGGGTAAAATCTCTGTGTTTCACTCTTTTGTTGTGACTATTCGCCAATACTTGCTGGTATGATGCAAGCCTTATTGCTGCAGCGTCCCTCTTTTCGTCTATCATATCGAGGTTCAATCTTAACATTCTGTCGTTCTGACTTTGACTCTATGTTAAGCTTCTGATAGTTGAGACCAAGTGCTCAACCGGTATAACCGCCTCGGTACCATACGCCATTGCAAACGGGCTCTCCTCAGTCGGCCGCCTTGGGGTGGTTTTGTAAGCCCATAGGACGTTCAGGAGTTCATCCAACCACTTCCCTTTATGGTCCTCCAGCTTCTTCTTAATGCAGGCGAAAATTGTTCTATTTGTAATTTCTGCTTGTCCATTGGCTTGGGGATGACTTACTGCAGCCAACTTTTGATTAATTCCATACTCCTCCAGCAGCTCTCTTACTTGCTTGCTGTCAAGGTTCGTGCCATTATCCATGACTATTGACCTTGGAACGCCGAAACGACAGATAATATTGCTCCAGATAAATCGTCTCACATGAGTCTGAGTCACGCTCGGATATGGTTCTGCTTCCACCCACTTAGTAAAGTAATCCGTGGCCAGTAGCACATACTTGTTCTGAGCTCTCGCAGTTGGTAGAGGACCGACTGCATCCATCCCCCATTGCGCGAAAGGCCATGGTGAGGCCATTACGTGCAATTCCTCAAGTGGTTGGTGGATCAATGGTCCATACCGTTGGCATTTATCGCACCTTCGAGAGAACTCATCCGCATCTCTTGACATGTTCGGCCAGAAATACCCTTGTGTCATTGCTTTGTGCGCTAACGATCTTCCCCCAGAATGATTTCCACATACGCCTTCATGAATAGCTCGCAACACCTGCCGAGCCTCTGTGGGGGTGACACACTTCAAGTATGGGCCAGAGTAGGATCTTCTGTACAGCTGGTTATGCACTATGGCGTACTTTGCAGCATTCTTTTTGATTTTCCTAGCTTCATCCCTTTGCATAGGCAGAACGCCATCTCGAATATAAGTGATGATGGGGTCAATCCAACTCGGTTGATACTGTATGACATGGACTTGCCAAGGTTCAGAGTCTAAAGGTTCTTCAAAAATAGATGGCTGGGTCAGTATTCTTACTGGAATCACCCTCGCCAATGTCTCGCAAGAGCTCGAAGCACTACATGCTAACCGATCAGCATCTGCGTTATGTTCTCTCGGTAACTGTATGAATTCAATCTTTGCAAAGTCCTTGGCTTTATGCAGAACGGCAGAACGATATGCCTCCATCGTGTCATCCTTGGTCGCGTACTCACCATTTACCTGCCGAATAATCAACTGTGAGTCACTATAAACAATCAAACTTCTGACCTGTAGCTCTCTGGCCAACTTTAACCCATTCAGCAACGCCTCGTATTCCGCTTCATTATTGGTGGCTCGGAACTCAAGTTTGAGTGCTTGACTCAAAGAAGTACCCTCTGGGGTTTGCAGTTTAACCCCAATTCCTACCCCCATCTGATTAGGGGAGCCATCCACATAAAGTTTCCAAGAGCTGCATCTAAGGTCTTCTTTCGTATCCTCAGAGTCACATTCTAGCAGGAAATCGGCTACCGCTTGTCCTTTGACAGCCGTTCTCGGCTCATACGTTATGTCAAATGAGCTTAACTCTATGGCCCATTTTGTCATTCTGCTCGAGAGTTCTGGCTTGTGCATAAGCACTCTGATTGGAAAAGTTGTTAGGACAGCTATAGGGTGGGATTCGAAATAATGCCTCAACTTTCTTTTTGCGTTTACGAGTGAAAGTATCACCCGTTCGGCCTTCGAGTACCTTCGTTCTGCCTCGGTCATTGTCTTACTGACATAAAACACCGGGTGTTGCACCCCTTCCTTGCAACGAATCAGAACGGCACTTGTCGCAACACTAGATACTCCGAGATATAGATATAATTTCTCTTCTGGATCCGGGGCTGACAGGACTGGTGGATTCTGCATATATTCCTTCAAATGGGTTAATGCTTGTCGTTGTTTATCCCCCCAGACCTGTTTTCCATGACTCCGGATCGTGTCAAAGAACGGCTTGCAGCGGTCTGACAACTTAGAAATGAATCGACTTAATGCAACTATTCGTCCTGTGAGGGCTTGTACTTCTTTGATCGTCTTTGGCTCGGCATTCTTAATCAAAGCCTCTGCTTGAGCAAGGCTAGCTTCGATGCCTCTGCGATTGACCACGTGTCCCAAAAATTGACCGGAACTCACACCGAACGAGCACTTGGTTGGATTGAGCCTCATCCCATATCGCCTCAGCATATCAAATACATCTTGCAGATGTTTCAGATGATCATCCTTCTTCCTACTCTTTACCACCATATCATCAATATAGGCTTCCACAATCTTTCCTATTTGATCCTTGAAAATTTTGCTAACAAGCCTTTGATAAGTTGCTCCCGCGTTTTTCAGTCCGAAAGGCATAACTTTGTAACAGTATGTCCCTCGCTCGGTAACAAAAGAAGTTTTTTCTTCATCTGCCGGGTCCATAGGGATCTGATTATAACCTGAATAAGCGTCCAGAAAGGTTAAACGCTCATACCCGGTGGTGGCATCCACCATTTGATCAATCTTAGGAAGCGGGAAGCTATCCTTCGGACAGGCTTTGTTCAAATTGGTAAAATCAATGCATACTCGCCATTTCCCATTCTTCTTCTGCACGACAACGACGTTGGACAACCAATCAGGATAGTGCACTTCTCTGATGAATCCCGCATCGAGCAACCTATCAACCTCCTCGGCTATGATCTAGTTACGTTCTGGAGCAAACCTTCGTTGCTTCTGCTTTACTGGTTTGAAATTGGGATTGACATTCAAGGAATGACAGGATACGGAGGGATTAATTCCAGGCATGTCTAGGTGACTCCATGCAAATACATTGGCATTGTAAGACAAGAAGTCAATTAGCTCCTGCTGCTCTTCCTTGGTCAGTCTTACTCCTACTCTTGTAGTTTGCTCTGGCTTGGACTGATCGATCTGCACATCCAAAAGGGGCTCTTCGGTCAAGTCAACTGGCTCCTCCACCCTATTCTGCTTGGGTAGAGGTTCCTGTAATTGCTATCTTGAGCTCGCCGAACGGATGGGCGCCTTCCCTTTCCCAGCATATTTTAGTGTGACGGAATAACACTCTTTGGCTGCAACCTGATCCCCATGAATGTCTATCACCTTATTTCCATCAGGTCCGAGGCACCTCATGACCTGATGCAGAGTTGAGGGCACACCTTGGACTCTGTGAATCCATCCTCTTCCCATCAGGAGATTGTACGAGGGGTGAATCTCCATAACCACAAAAGTTTCCATAAGAGCTCGTTCTGCAGCTTGAACTTCTACTTCCACCATACCGATGGGCTCCACCCTCTTACCATCAAATCCTAACAGGGGATTTCCAGTGGGCTTGAGCCTCTCTGGCTTAATCTCGAGCCGATCAAATGTGTCCCTTGGCATGACATTCGCACTACTTCCGGGATCGATCAGAACTCTACGCACCATGCTGTTCGCCACTGTCAAGCTGACTACCAACGGATCTTCATGGGGGATTTGAACACGCAGCAGGTCTGTCCTGTCGAACTTTATCTGTATCGATGTGATCTGTTGGTGCAGAGTATTCACACTGCTGACCCTTTTCTTCATCTGCGCCTGCCGTAGGCGCATTCAGAGTAGCTCATCTGAGTCTTCGCTAGGCTCGAGTCGACCGCGCATTGATTATACGAACTGGCTGTGAATTGTGGGAGCTTTGCTTCTGACTTCTTTTTACTTGCTCCATCGGTCGGTTCTGCTCTATCGCCGAGCCTTGGACATAACTCGCGAACTCCCCTCTAGCTATCAACATCTCCACTTGCCTTCTCAAATTCCTGCATTCGTTAGTCTGATGACCGAAATCGGAATGGAAAGCACAATGTTTAGTCTGATCCCTCTGTTCGAGGGGTTGCCTAATTGGCAGTGGTGGATGAAACTTATCTTTGTTCTCCTGATATAGCCTCGCCAGAGTGACCTTCAACGGAGTGATTAGCTCTTCCTCCCTAGACCTTTTTTCTGCCTTCCAGGAGGTCTGACATTGCGGCTGAGCCTGCTTCTGCTTGATCTTTGCCTTGGACTTTTCCTCGGTCGACACGACCGACGCTGTCCGAGCATTGGCTGCCTCCTCTTCTTCCAGGCGCACAAAGCCATCGGCTCTTTCATTGAGTTCATCCATAGTCGTCGGCGTGTTTACTACCAAACTGGTATGGAACGGAGTGCCACGTGTCATGGCCAACTTGAAGGCTTGAACCGCTGTAGAAGGGTGGCATTCAATCACCATACTCTTAGTGAGGTTAAACCTGGTGAGAAAAGCCTTGAGACGTTCATCTTTATGCTGTTTCATTGTGAATAGGCTCGAGATGTCCTTCGGCGGACGCTTGTTCCCATAGTACTGGCTTATGAACCGATCGCACAGGTTCCGGAAGCTATCAATCGAGCCCCTAGGCAAGTTCTTGAACCAGCTAAGCGCCGGTCCGGCTAGACTTGTAGGGAAACATTTGCACATTAAAGAGTCGTTCTCCGTATTCAGAGCCATCTTCAACTGGATATGGTACACATGATCGATCGGATCGGTTGTTCTGTCAAACAGAATAAAGACTGGCATGGCAAACTTCCTTGGATGCGGAGCATTCAGGATCTCATCAGTAAATGGTGAATCAACTGTCCGAGCCGCGGATCGGAGTGCTTCATTCTCTCTCTGGAGCCCAGCGGTAGCTCTATGAGCTACAAATCTACTCTCCAAACCGCGATGAGTGAGTGTAGCCATGGAGGGCCGGTAAGACGGATTGAATGACCGTTCCTCAATGAGCTCTCTTTGCCAAGGCGATACAACTCGGCGGCGATCAACCTCTATCACTTCCTCTCGGTTGAACCTTTCCTGATGCGGATCGAAGGTCATGGCTTCGTTCTGTTTGATCTGCTCATATCGCGGATCAACGTGAGTCGATCCTTCGTAATCCTCAACTCGACGAACATTTGGCGGCAAATCGTCCATCCTCCTTTCATCACGGTGGAGAACTGACTGATTGTTCTCGTCCTGCTCGCCTTGATGTGCGATATTAGATTGAATACCTCCTTCACCGGCCAGAAGTAGACGCGGAACCGCCGGCATTTGCTGATGCTGCATTCCAACTTTCAATTCTGCATTCTCTCTTTTGAGAGCTTCGATCAAGTTCATCAACTCCTCAAGCTTCGTTTGCTGGACAGCCTCCATCGGATTGGAACTTTCACCTATCATTATTCCTGAACGGAGTAAAGGCATTAATCTCAAGTTCTTGAGTAGATCTGGGCTTCGTGAGCGCGAATTTTTCAGATCTGGACTCGAATTCTCCGAGTTATGCTTATGGTTGACGAGATCTGAATTCTCCGAATTCTAAATCCGTCAGATCCGGCCGCAATCAAACAACTCGTTGTTGCGTAGATCTGAAGCCACTTCCGTCAAAGCAACAGAACTAAAATTCCTCCAGAATAGGTCACAATCTCTCAGATCTGGATCCAACTCCCAAAGATCGAGTTTCGTCTTCACGAATTGGTCTGAATCCACGCGATATTGATCAATGATCAATCAATCTTCAACACTTCCCACAGACGGCGCCAATTGAAGATGCAAGAAATTCATTTCCATTTTCTCTCTCTAGAATTCTTACACTTCAACAGAATGAATCTCTCTCCCCATTACTTCCCATATTTATAGGTATTTACAAACATTAATGGGTTGCTAGATCTGGGCCCGTTCCTCTGTGGGCTTTGGTCATCTTCGATGGGCTATTCGCGTTCGGCCCATATGGCAGTATTTCTTTATGGGCTGGATCCAGCTGCTCGGATCGGATGCCATGTTCGCGGGTCATATCCGGCCCATATCACTTCTGACCTCCTCAATTTAATAACATGATAGGAGATGTTAGGTGTTAGTATTGGAATCAAACATTCAGAATCCTATTTTCATTTATATCATAAATTGAAAATGTTGTAAAAAATGCATTCATTTATATCATAAATTGAAAATGTTGTAAAAAATGCAGCAGAGAGGTTTTTTTTTATTTTTTTATCTTTAGTACATGAGGCGGACAAATCCTTGGGCTTTCAAGAGGTCTTTTGTTGGTTAAGATCATTCCCAAGACAATCTCCAAAAACAAATCATTCACGGTCTAGAATGATGAACGAAACCAAACCTCATTATCTCATTATCTTGCAATCCTGACAATTTGAAAAGGAAAACAAACCTGAATTAAAATATTCCGAATGAAGAAAAGCAACACTAGCAATTTCAGTTCCTGGTGTCAATGCACAAAGATATGTAGATATCATCACACAGCAACCAAATTGACAAATGCATGATATTTTCCAGTGGACTATATTCAAATTACCATTTCACATAACAATAACTTACAGTTACAGATATAAAACAAATGGCAAGCTTTGTGGACGTCAGTGATCGAGCTAGAAATGTGGTTCAAGGAGAATACCGCAGTTGCATACATAAATCGTCCTTTAGTTGAGGCAAAACAGAATTTAAAGAGTCCAACAATGTCTTATATTCAATAGGCCACTTCAGAATTTTACTACAGGTATAATTGAGGATTTCTCACATCAACTTGCACTAAAAACATATATATACACCTATTGAAAACCTCAAGGGAAAGGTTCATTGCACATAAAGGAACAATCAGCTGGTACAAGAAGCCAAGTTTCAGATCAAGCACCTGCAACGCTCGTGTATAATGTGACCAAAATTGAACTTGGACGACCCTTTGCAGCACTCTAGATGGATAATGGTAAACAAAGGAAGATTCACCCCATAATCTACAAAACACATAAAATCCAATGTTCTGAAAAACAGGTCTAGAAATTTTCCGCCATGCATTCTGCATTTGCATCTAGAGTGTTAAAAGACACCTTTTGATATATATTTCACGTTTAAGAAAACGTATATGTCAACAAATAGATGTTTACAGTTCCAAGAATCAAACAAGGCATCAGTATCACCTACCTCAACCAAAAAAAAACAAGGAAGGAAAACTCAGCGCACAGAAAAAAGAAAAGAAAAGAAAAAAAACAGAAGGAAAAAATGACAATAAAACAATTAACTGAAATGATACAGTATGACTAACTTTTGTTAAAAAAAAAAATACCCCAAGCCAGCTCAGTTGTAAAGCAAACCTCATTTTGGATCAACACCAGAGGTTTGAACATGATCACCAAAAACAGCCAACAAGGTAAAATGGCAAAAAGTGTGCGGATGCAAAATATAGAACAACTCTACCAGATTTAATTGGGAGTCTCAAAGATATCTCCAAGCGGATTATGTGAAAGCCATAATCTAATTATAGTTTTTAAAAAATAATTATTGTTAATCAAATAGTGGAAACAAATTCCTTTTACAACTTCAGCTAGTCCAAATATTCATATGAACTTATGAAGAAAGATGACCACTGACGTAGAAAATATGATTAATTGACCAGAAAAACAAAAAATAATAACAAATCACAAAGACTAATAAGTTTAGGAAATAAAAATTTGGAGAAAGCCATCAAGAAAAATATAGAGAGCGACAAATTTAACATATTCCACACAAATAAGGTCTCAGTATACATTTGTTGTTGGAGAATATCATAGGAGTGGTTTTAGCCTATGATAGAGTATTGGTTGCAGTGATTTATGGGATTGATTTTAGGAATCCTCCATCAATGTATTTTCCATATTTATCACTTGTAACCTATAAATAGTGGTGCTGATTGTAAACAATATTAAGAGAGAATATAACAAAAGTGATTTAGCCCTTTGGGCTTTGTGTGTTGTGCTCTTCATGTTTAATTTCTCTCTTCAATTTTTACATCTTTCATCAGTTGTCATTATGGTCCACTTGGATTGAGCACATGCAAATCAGCATATGTACCACAATTATAGTAACTTGTCACAAGTATTTGCTATCATCACAAATGACACGTCAGAAGAACATATGTAATGAAGTTAAGAGCCTAAAGTAAAAGGATTGTTTTACTACGAATGTCCTATGTGAATTGCCATTACAATGAAATTCACATTACAATGTTGATTTAGGAACACAATAAGAAAATGGCATTCCACAATTCCACATTTCGCAAAATGGCATCACAGTATATAAAAAATTCTATAACAAAAGAACATATCTTTTTTCCTTTTTATGGATAAAATTCACCAGAAGGCAGATATACCAATGAAGTATATAAAATAAAATAATAATAAATTACTGAGGAAAAAAAAAGTACATAAAAACAAAGCATACAAAAACTATCACCTGAGTCTCCCAAAGACTCATACTCATCATCCTTACCTTCATGGCTTTATCCCAAACTATCACCTCATTCTCCCAAAGCCTCTATGAAAAAATCATTCTAGACAAGATCACCCGATAATCCAAAAATACAAGGGCGATAAACTTTAAAAATATGTTTTAACTTCAGCAGAATTGTGAGCGGTGACCTAAAACGTAACTTGTATCTTTCTCACCTCGACTCCCATTCAACCAGCCACGACCTAAGAAGTAGATGTAGGAAATCCCACAGGATGCCTACTAAGGAAAGAAGGGCCTACAAATTCCATGCAACTGAGCAGGGAATAAAGTGATAAACTGCCTCCTCCAAATTCCACATGTAGCACCTGTTACAGATAAATGCCTCATCTTCAACTAAGCATCAATTATACAAGTCTGCCTGGTTCACCAAGAAAAAGTAGTCTAAGAAGGGACTCTAGACCACGAAATCTCCTTCCAAGGAAGCCCTCGGAACATATTCCCCAAAGTACTCCGTTAAATGACAAAACTCAAATTCTCTTCCCTTCAGAACATTCCATTTCAAGGAATCCTCCACCGTAGAATGCAACAACTAGGCATGCGATAAGATAGAAAAGCCATCAGCCTCAACCATCAGCCAATTCTAAAGAATAAAATTTAGTATCCCAAACCATTGCCCTTCAATCAAAATGACATAAATCTATAATCGAACCTTCAAACGACTTCCATCCAGAAAAAAATTCAAAAACTCCTACATAGATGACAGTTCCCAAACCAGTGATCAAGCCCAAAAAATACTCCCAGCCCATACTAATGGTCTTCAAAAACGCATTGCATAGGTCATAAAAACCAGTATCCTCTCCTACCATTTAGCGAAATGCCTTCTTCAATAATTTCAGATAAAAATTTGAAAACTTTGTTCACCATTCTATCCTTTGCAAGACTACCAATGATCATGCTATCGACTACTATGTCAGTCCTACAACTCTTTTTCCAATACTCCTGAGTAGTGTTTCCAGTTCTGCAAAGCTTTCATAGGTTCAATTTCTTTCTTTTGCATCAACTTGTTGAGTAAGTCCACTACCTAGCAATTTTATCCCCTAAGATGAGTCCTTCTAGGATAGTGTTAATGTAGTTACTTGCAGAAATCCTAGGAAGCAAGGACACGGGACACGGGACACAATTGTGACACAATATGGACATGGCGATATGGCAAATTCTAAAAAACATTGGATACAGATACAACATGAATACATCAAATTACGGTCAAAAAATAATAATATAATATATTCTATATATATAAATAAAATAAAATAAAAATTATCATTTTAACATATAATCATGGATAAAATCATTAATTTGGAGCCTAGAGCAAGATGTTTGTTATTTTTGTTTTCTTAAAATTTATATTATTTTTCTAATTAACCCATAATCTATCTCAAATTACATTGAAACACATTCTTCTAAAAAAAATTGAAAGTGTCCAAAACGTGTCCCAGGTCGTGTCCAACAAAAAATTAATAAATTCAAAATTTAGGACACTTCTAGCCATGTCCGAGTGTACGATACTACCACGGCACCCCAAGAGAAGTGTCTGTACTTCCTAGCAGACGGTGTTTGAAAGAGAATGGACGACAGCAAAATGTGAGGAGATTTATTATGAATATACTACAAATATATGTTCATGTATGGTTTTGGACTATATATATGTTATTATATAAATATCCAAGCCATCCTCTAATTTTGTAGAAAGCCAAATCATCCTCTTATTGTCAGAGGACTGTTATCGAATCAATTTTTCAAATCCACTCAAATGTAGGGTGCCATGTCAAGTTTTACACTTCCCTTTTGCTAAAGTAAATGATTACATTCTCTAAATTATGCTAAATAATTTTTACATCAAATGCAACAAATACCTTTAATGGATTCCCCGGCTAAAATTATAATATTGCAATTTCAGTTGTCAAATGTTTAAATCTTGCTTCTCTTCACATTCAGTATTCTTCAAATTTGTACTAGTAAATGAAAAATCAAAATTGTTGTGGCTTTGAATTTTTGAAAGTTACAAAGCCTCTTTAAGCACCACTGTAAGAATTCAAATAGCATTATTTATTGATGAAACATGAGAGCATGCCCAAAACAGCGAGCGAGAGAGAGCATCTTTACAGTTCAAGACGTGAGAAAGACACAACTTAGCCACAAGATATACAAGTAGTTATATAAAAACCTAAAACAAAATATAATTCGCACTTGGTAATGTGAATAAGATGGTTCACCATGTAAGACGATATATATATATATATATATATATAGGGTATTAGAGTCTATAACTAAAAATAACATTAAGATCAAACTTCAAATAAAACTAACAGTTAGCAATTGAAACTCACCAGAAGATACTTGCATAGAGTGAATGAAGACGCTGCTAGACCTTATTGTAGAAGATCTCTCCAGTGATCCCAACAGATTGCCACAAGCAACAACATGCATTTTCAAATGGAGTCTTTAAGTTGGATTGCTTATCCTTTGCAACGAACTTTTGCATCATATTAAGGAGGGTAGGATCTTGCCATTCCCCTGGGAATACATCAACTAACATGGAAAAAGTAGATGAATCGAGAGAGAAACTCCTTTCTTGCATTTCCTCCAAAAGTACCATTGCCTGGAAACACTTGTTCTTCTAAGGAATCCCTGAACAAGAATATCATAGGTGACATATTAGGCAAGCAACCATTTTTCCCATTTCCAGGATCAACTTTTTTGCATCGTCCAATAGCCCTTAGTAACAGAGTCCATTTACCATTATATTATATGTCTTCAGTCTTAACATTGGGTTGTAGCCCCTTAGAAAAAAGGTTATTGAAAATATCCCTTTCAATATCAAGCTTCCTACCTTTGCACAGCCCATCAAGGAGGATACTGCAAAAAGTAAGATAGGGATAAAAAAAAAAGTATTACTCTACATAACATGATACAATGACAATGCCTCAGCAGTATACTGGTCCTTGAACAAACCATCCAACAATATGGACCAATTGCACTAATCAGGATTTTGTCCCCTAGCTTGCATTTCGTAAAAAAGCCCTAGGGCAACAGCACTTCTGAGGGTTTCAATCCTTTACCAGGAATTTCACAAAAGATATGCAAGGCCTCGTCTATCATCCCCTTCTTGCAATATCCATTGATTAGAATGTGATAGCTCCAAATGTTGGGCACACAGCCTCTGGACAACATGACATTTAAGGTGTTTATTGCTTCATCCATTTGGCCTTGCAAACAATATCCACAAATGAGTGCACTATAGGTGACTACATTAAGATCCTCACCTCTTTGAATCATGAATTCTACTACATACTCGGCATCTTTTACCATCCCTTCTTTGCAAAGTACATCCATAAATATTGAAAGGTATATACATCTGGACCAATCTTCCAGTCAACCATCTCATTCAATAATATTTTAGCCTCTTCCAATGACCAAAACTGCAAAAGCGGTAAATCAATGACTTGTAGGTGGCAACATTCGGTACAATGCCATTTTCAATCATTTCGAAGAAAAAATTGAAAGCACAATTAGGCATTCCGTCAATTATTAATCGTGCAATAAACCATTTACATCAGACCTACAATTGTTCTTTTCCATACACCCATACACCTAAGTAGCCCAATGGCCATGCTAGTGTTCCCTCTTCTGCAAAGCCCATGCATCAGTGCGAATGTGTAATACATGAATTCATTTGGTTCAATTTATTTCTCTCTCAACAGCTTGTCAAATAACTCTCCTGCCTCCTCTAAGGAGAGCACTTTTAGCAGAGTGGTGAAGGTGATCGAGTTCAGAACACAAACACTTTTCAATATGTTAGCTAAGGTAAGAACATTAGCAGGAATACCCAACATACACATTTGTTTAAACAGAGAAACTGATACCGAAAAGTGGTTCAATTTGGCAATACCATTAAATAATTTATTAAATTCAATAATGGGAAAAAGATATCGCATTTGGACCATTTGGTTGAATAAACACAGAGCATCTTCGAGTTTAATACTATATATTGTTAAACCCAGATCTAATTTTCTCTGATAACTTCAGGATTCAAAGATTTCAATGAGGATTAACAGTTCTAGTAGTATGAGAAGGAAACATAACTGTGTCGTCTAGAGAGAGAAGCAAAGGATCACCTTGGAGAAGGTAACAGCGAGAAACGAATGGTCTGTATACTGAAGCAGTGGCATTCTGTGCATCTTCAACGGAGATTTTTGCAGAGGTGTCCGGAGGAGATGGGCAACTGGGGCATGCAAGTGAACCGTCTATGTTAGATAATGGAAAAGTTCGTTCTCCCCCAATTCTCACTTCTAAATGTTAAGGTTAATTCAGTAATTGCCCGAAACAAATGACTGGCAAAACACAATTCAAACACCATGTTGCCAAGTTAACAATAGGTTATTTTAATTAATTGTGACAGCTTGTCTGAATTGACTTCAATCATGTCAATTCATTTAATTTATTTTAGGGTAAAGTGCAAATAACCCCCTGAACTATGGGAAAATTTGCAACTAACCCCTTGAATTACCAAAAATGCAAAAAACCCTTCAAACTATACAAAAAAGTTACAGATCACCCCATCCGGTGACCGGCCGTCCAAAAATGAGCTCGTGATTCACACGCGACAGACAAACTAAGTTTTTTGGACAATAATGCCCTTCTATATATGAAAATACCAAATTATTCTATAACCACCACCACCGTCGTCTACGACCACCACCACCTTCTGCAACCACCAACATAACCACCACCACCGTCCGCAACCACCAACATAACCACCACAAAACCCTCCTGAACTCATGCCAAAACACACCGTTAAACGAAATCAAACCCACCACCATCACTACCACCTCCATCGGCATCTCAACGGCACACCACCAAACCCAATCGAACCAGTACACAAACCCACAGCCACCACCCCAACCACAGCCCAACCTTCTCTCCATCAAACCCATCACACACCGTGAAACCAAACCCCCACTAACCCACTGCCATCACCCCCTTTAAACACAATCTCTGGTTCTCCCTCGGGAACGAAGGCGGCATGGAACTGATACTCGGTGGCGTCCAATTCCGGTCTGATAGCGGAGCACTAGTATGGGCAGCGATGGATCCATACGCGAGCAACGAAGCTTTCAATTGCAGCAACGGCGATCTGTTCAAGTGGAAGCACTTGTGGAAAATGATTGCGGAGTAATTTGGGGTCGATGAAAACGAGAAGTGGGTGACCGTCCAGATCGGAACAGGGAGGTTTGCGGATGAGGGGAAGCTCGGCCGCTGTGCAGCTAAGCCGCAACTAGCCCATCGCCGCGAGTTAACCATAGCCGAACCAGCCCATCGCCGTTCAGCCCACCTTGTTCGCCGGTCCTCTCCACCATCCGAGCTCGTTCCAACTGTCACCGCAAGAGACGGTGGCGGGGCAGGCGCAGGAGATGACGGCAGCGAGATCCCAGCGGCGACGAGGATGATTTGGGTTTTGACGCGTCGACTCCGCATCGTCACCATAATCGCCGACTTACCTCCTCTTCCGTCACCATAATCGCCGCCGCCGCCACCATCTTTTTCCTTCATTTCCTTCACGATTCAATCTCCAGCCTGATGCTTCTCTCTCTCTTCAATGTCCAATGTTATATATATATATAAACACATATATATAAATTCAGTTTAAAACCAGAAATATATATATATATATATATATATATATATATATATATATATATAAACGCATATATATTTATATACCTTATACAGTAGTGAATAATCATAAGGGCAATTCAGACTTTTTATTTTTCCGGTTAAGTCAGTCACCGGAATGGACTGAAATGCAACAAATTCATAGTTTAGGAGGGTTTTTTTTAGTTTGGGGGGGGTTAGTTGCAATTTGTCAATAGTACAGGGGGGTTATTTGCACTTTACCCTTTATTTTAATTAGTGTTGTTCTCCGGATATCATTCCTTTCCACCGAACTTAAAGTTTTCAAAACACCCAATTAATAGGAGGCAAAATACTTTATTTTAATATATATAATTATTAAAAGGTCCAATCTAAATCACACAATCACTTAACGTGACTTAGGATTCAATTGCTATTTTGCAATTTTTATGAGTCACTTAACGTGACTTAGGATCCAATTGCTATTTTTATTTTTGAAAGGTCTATTATTAAGAATTTTGCCAATGATGAAAGTCTTCTTGAAGGAAGATTATATGCTTAGTTTGTACGTTCGGTTGTCTTTTATTATTTTTTTAAAAATTCAATTATAATTGATATTTTTATTTTTGAAAGGTCTGTTATAACAATGAAAGAAAAAAGACTAAGAACTGTTTTTATTATTCTCATAAATTTTCTAAAAACTTAAATATAAAAAACTCTTAACAAACTTAGTTATAAAAATGTCTAAAAATTATTTTTTATTCTCAAAATTATAAACCAAAACACTATTTTTTCTTTTTTCCTTTTTTTTCTTTTCTTTTTTTTCTCTCTTCTAAGACCCTTTTCACATAATTTCATTGGCATTCCAAGAACATCACAAGGCAAAACAAGAGAATTAATTTTTATGATTAACAAACCACCTAAATAAGATATTGTGTGTGAAAATAAAATAATAATAATACATAATATTATATATATTGAGTGGATTTTCAATATCAGTCAGTCTAATGAATGTGAGAAAAATTTAAAAAAAATGTGACCTAATTTTAATTGATGAAGCTTGGTGGACAAATATGACCAATTATATAACCGTATCAAACAAAATCTATGTGGAGATATCAAACAACTTATATGATGAGACCTTATGTGAATCTTTCAACAAGAGAATAAATTGAACAAATTTCTATGACAAGTAGAAAAATAACTACTTTAAATTGAATTAATCATAAAGAACACAAGGCCTCAAACTTTTCCAATTCGAAAGAACAAGAAAATTATGTGCTAACAAGTATAAAACACTCCAACCAAACAGGGTGTGTACAGTTTGTTGATTTTATATATAACTCAATATATATATATATATATATATATATATATATCTGTGTATAACTTGAAGTTTTATCTTCTGGTTAACTCTGCCACACACACACTGATAAAATAGATGTGACGATGGACTTACTAAGCAATCCGTAAGTGGAAGCATCGGGTTGATTTTGTTTTATGAGAATAGTTATATATATATATATACACTTCTTTATATATAACTCAATATATATATATATATATATATATATATATATATATATATATAACTATTAATATCTGTGTATAACTTGAAGTTTTATCTTCTGGTTAACTCTGACACACACACTGATAAAATAGATGTGACTATGGACTTACTAAGCAATCCGCAGATAAGTGGAAGCATCGGGTTGATTTTGTTTTATGAGAATAGTTATATAAATATATATACACTTCAGATCTTTTTGGTCAGAAGATCAAGTGGAAGTCAAAAAACAGACAACTAAATCCACTAGTAGCATCTAGGACAAACACATTATATATAACCAAATAAGCACTGCCAAACACCATGAAAGCAAACGAATTAAGATCGATACAGATCTACACTTTAGGAAAAGGGATGAGCCAGTTCATCTCTTTGTACAGAGAAAAACAGTAGAGAAAGAGATAGAGAATCTCACTCTGCTCTCAACTGTTGTTTCTCTGTACAAACAAATGAAACGGATCAAACTAGGAGGCCAAAATTCAGTAAAGACCGCCGTAGACCACTGAAGAGGACTATAAGAACTGCGCTTTACACATTCAATTAGGGTTACATATACTACTCTATATATATACACACACACCTACACGCACGCATTGACAATTTGACACACAGCCGCGTGTTTGCGTAATTTCTAGAAGGAAAAAATGACAAGATGAATCCAACGGTGCGGAGGAAATAGTCTACGTGATAAGGAATCTTGAACCGTTCGAAAGGAATATCAAGCCACGTGGAAACAGTTTGGCCCAGATCAAGCCTGTCCCGGCCCATTTATCTGGCCTAGACTCGAAGCCCTAAGCATATAGGATTCTCTCTATTGCTTTTCAACTTCTTCTCAACTACTATAACAATTCCATTCGAACAACATTAATTTTTTTTTTTTTTTTTTGGCAAATTCGAAGAACATAGATGATCAATGTCTCCTACTTAACGGGTCATCCATTTACTTAACCTATGTCTCTATGTACATCTAGCAATTGATTAGAGTATACTTGAGCCGTAATGTAGCGAGGATTGCACCACTTAAAACATCCCACCTCTTCAACTCAAGGTGTTTGGAAAGTTGAAAACTCATTTTCAATCGGAAGTTCATGCATTGAAAAAGCAATACAAATGGAACAATAAAAGTACAACATAATGTTGTGTTTGGCAATATCGAATCGGGGTCTGTGACTTGAGATTGAATAAATTTTAGTATAAAGTTTGAACAAAATGTTCTCCAATCTCAAATTCTAAATATCAATTCGGCGGTGTGAAACATAGCATTTCAAATATGAGTGAAAGTTCAAAATTCATTTTCAACATTTTCAATGACGTGAAAACTTCATCATCTACTCAATTTTTGAAGAATTAGTCTTAACACATAAAAATTTTTTGGTCGAGTTAAACTGTCGTGATCATTGGAGAGATGGGAAAATTCCTACATTGACAGTAAAATATTATGAACTATGCCTCCGTTTGTTTGAACGTAAAATGTTTTTCTTATAAAATAATTTCTTGTAAAATGAATTTTTTTTTTTCCCCTGGTGTTTGCATTTTCTGCTGTTTGGCTCCTGAAAATATTTTTAAGTGAAAATTAAGGGAGTAGTGTAATGACAAGGGTTTGCCTAGTTCGTTAATCACTACTATGATGTGGGTTCGTTTGTCTAGTTCGTTAATCATTATGGGTTCTTTCATGAAACAAAACTTAAGTTGATACCTAAAATTTTAAGGGGGTTGTATGTAGAAAATTATCAAGAATAATGACTTCTACTAAGGGTTAAGTGCAAAAAACCCCCCTGATATATAGACTTTGTGCAAAACTAGTCCCTATTTTTTAAAAATGTGCATGCAAGTTCACAAAATTCAAAAAAGTACATAACCAGTCCCTCTGACAACTTTTTACAAAAAATAAAACTGAAAATCCCATTTTACCCTTTTGTTTCCCATTTTGCTCCTCACCATTTGTGCATAAAAGACCCCCAACATTTGTGCATAAAAGGCCCCCCCACCCTTAATCCCAATTCGTCTCTCTCTCTCTCTCCATGCATTAAGAAATGAACACGGAATACAAAATAAATTAAGAAATGAATTTAAAGCTTGAAGGAACTAAAAATAGAATCCGCAAAATACTATAAT